TTTCTTGACTTCTAAGTAGGGAGTCTGACTAATATTTTTAAGTAATGCAATATCTAGTATGTCTCCGCCACTTCGACAGTAGAAAGTGTATTCACTTGGGGTGACTAGCTGTAAGTTATTTGCATAGATATAGTTTTTAAGCAGACTACCATTTCTGTTACCCATCCTGGCTCCCCAGGAGCGATCTTTTGCATTTAGATCACCCGCAAGTATGGTAGGGAAATTCGTCGACATTATGATGTCTAAGTCCTGTAAGTTGATATCCTGCGGCGGGGTTGTACGCTGCTACTATAAGGTAATTCTCATTGGTTGTACTGCTAGTAAGAATTGCAGTGTATTCTAATCGCGTCGTCGTCGGGAGCTTGATAGTGTTGAATTTAATGTGATTCTTGATCACAACTGCAGTACCTCCGTGGGTAGTCCTGAGCCTATCGCTTCTAATAATGCTATAACCTGGGATTTTACTACGAACTGAGATGTTTTCCTCCTTTTATAAGATTTTAAAAATCACGCTCTAGAATTTTCTGGTACTTTCTCGAAATCAAAAAGACATATTTATTTATTTAATGCACGCGCTCTTGTATTTTCAATTTTCCGGCTTAGCTTTCTTTTATTATTCGTCACGCGCTGCACTGCGCGAGAAATAAAACCATTTAATTTATAATTGAACTAACATTAGCTTTTTAAATACCAAATTCGTAACAATTATAAGCATACATACGTAACAAAATTCTAGCTCAAATTTTCTATCCTGATTGTGTGTGTGATTATGGCAAAGCCTCGATGGCTATCTGCCTAAGGGGAGGGATGCCTTCGTGGAGGACTTTCTAAGGGTAACTGGCTCGTATACACGTTACACATGGGGAAAACCACGATAACGCCCATGCAGCCAGCCCGTTCGCGGGATTCGAACCTCGGACCGAACTACCAGTGCTATCCTGATTGACTATTCTGTTTGGAAAATGTGGAAAAAAAAAAAAAAAAAAGGCAGTTCTATACCTCCAGTTCTACTGGGCCGATTGACGAAATTCAAACTACGTTTTCCATGCCTCGAAAGCCCGACTTAGGATATCTATTAGATTTAAATATAGCTTTGTTCTAATATAGGTATTTTGATACAAAATCGGACCTTTTTCCGAAATAACATACCAATTCTTTTTTATGTATCTCAATTCCACCACTAATTTAAGTGGTGGAATTGAGATACGTAAAAAAAATTTAGGCATAATTTAATGCCTAAATATTAAATTTTGTAATTTTTGGTAAGAAATTTATGGAGAAATTTAAAAATTTATCTTGGAGAATTCTTTTCAGTTTGCGCCAAGAATAATTCCCCTTTCACTTGACGAACTTCTTAATTTATAGCAACCTATTTTCATTATCTTTTTCTTCATTGTAAACGAACTTAAAAAAGTCATCGTTCATTATTTCAAATAATTTTAACAAAGTGGGTAAACCACATTTTCGTTATTATCGCTTATAATAAATACGCCAAATTTCAAAACGCGCTAAAATGTAAATTCACGTATACCTTCGAAAATTTTGAATAAAAAAACTTTGATTTTTAGACTACTTTAAGAAGATGGCCAAACATTTATAGGTATTCAAAATGTTTTTCGAAAAATTCATAAAAATTTTTTTAAAATACAAATTAAAAAATAAATTATAAAAAATAGGCGAATATTATTTGGAATGAACCTAAATTTTGAAATATGAAAGGAAGAATCAAATAAGTTTAATAAAACAGAGATATTAATAAATATATACCAAATTCAATTAACACTGAGGAGCTAAAATTCTGAGAGCTAATTTTTTTAAAAACTACTCGTGCGATTTTTACAAAACTTGGCACTTTGGCATAATTTGACTTAGTGAATCGATATATGGAGAAAAATTGGCATGTCATTTTAGAAATTTATTTCTCCCACAGAAGATCACTTTTTTATTATCGGATTGCACAGTTCTTCAATTTTCCTTAGCTTGATGAACGCTGGTGATATCAGGTTGCATCAACCATGGATTATTATACAAAGGACAAAATTTTTTAAAGTATAAACAGATAATAAGAAATGTTTATAATATTTTTACTTTCTTGTACGAACTAAAGGAAGTATTGTGATTACGAAAAATTCAGAGTACAATATTTCAACGAAAATATCCATTTTGACCGCTATCGAATGGAATTTAACGATGTTTTTGCGTGACATCTGTACGTAAGGACAGAATAAAGTATCTTTTTACCCAAAAGAATTATAAAATTGATTTAAAATGGATTCAGAAGAAATTTTTTCGTGGCGTCTGTACGTAGGTATATATATATGTATCTCGCATAGCTCAAAAACGAATAGCCTCAGAACGTTGAAATTTTGTATGTAGGACTGCTATAACATATAGATGTGCATCTCCCATTTTGGTTGCACAATCGGCCGCACCAAAAGTATATATGCATATATAAATCCACTCTCTTACTCACCTCAGTGAGCTCAGTTTCTTTATTCTTATATTTTTGTAAATTGTGTATTTTTTGCTTTAAAAATGATTGAATTATGATGTTCTTATCTTCCGGTTAAGATTTTTATGCCTTTAGTTAACCTCCATGTTACAGTTGTAAAATTATCAACAATTTAAAAGTCGTTTGAGTGCGACTAAGCCTAATTTTTTTTGCCATGGCAGCCATATTTGTTTACATTTGAAACTTAGCACAATAGTGGATTTTTTGCCAATCCTAAGAAATTAAGCTTCGCAAGAACAAAGTAACGTCTTCTTTTATTATTGCGAATTAAATTATGCTTAATCCATTCTGGTATTATCATTTAAGTTATTAAACTATCCCATATATTGACTCGCATAGTGTCCACAACAAATTAAGTCAGTTCTACGTCTTCAGTGTCTTTTTGCCGAGTGAGACCAAAAGTAAACTTTCAGCTCTGTGCATAGAAAAATCTGCCTTCCTGCACGCTGGCCGAATTGCTCGTTTTTGCCAAGAAACTGTAATTTTAATTGTAATTTTTTTAAAAATTGTTTTAACTGTATTTGGTGTTTTATCTTTTTCTATATTTTTCGATTTTTAATATAGCTGTTTTGAGATTTTATGTACTTTTGCCTTGTCGCAAAATGAGAACAAATAGGTTTAAATGAAATGCAGGAAAAAATGCGTATAATTTAATATTCCGTACAAGGAAGCCATGTGGTGTACAAATCAGATTTTTTTCCTATTTAAATTTTCTGTTTACACCTTCATAGAAAATAAAACATGCACTTTGCTGCTAGATCCCGAGTATTTTACAGAAAACTAAGTTTCGCCTGAGCACAAGCTTCGCTTTCGTCATTTGAACTTCTACAGCTGAATGCTCCACATTTATGAGTATTACATTGATTCTTGTTGCCTTAATACCTCAAATAAGAGTTAGAATCTCTTAATCGTCACAAAAAGAACTTCTAAGCATGTAGAGTCATTAGGTTAATTGGAAGCAGGAAAGATGAAAAATGAACAACCGCCTTCGCCGGGAATCGAACCACGGACCTCTGGAATACCGGCCCAGTATGCAGAACCACTACACACGAAATCTCGCTAGGAAAGGGGGAGAAATACCTTATATACTCCCCTTTTTAAAGGCGACTAGGGTTTTAGGGGACCTAGTCAAATCCTGGGTGCGGAGAATCATCATCCACAACCCTTTTAGTTCGGGCGCCACTTGTAGAGTCATTAGGTTAATTGGAAGCAGAAAAGATGAAAACTATGCAACCGCCTTCGCCGGGAATCGAACCACGGACCTCTGGAATATCGGCCCAGCGTGCTACCGTTACACCACGAAGGCACGCTAGGAAAGTGGGAGAAATACCTTATAAGCAATGAAAGTAAATAAAAAGGTTTAGTTCTAACTGAAAATAAATAGAGATATTTGAAAAATATTTCATTAATTCCACTGCAAGTCCAAGTGTTAGTTTAACGTACATGATGATAAAAAAATCCGCTAAATATTAAAAATATTGCATTGTTTTAAATGTGTAACGTAAGTCATTTGTATGAAGAATTTAGAACAAAAGTATAGAAATTAAAGGGGATGAAAGAAACTTTTTCGTATCATAAACCAAAGTTGTTGTATATAGCATTGACGTTACAAATGAGACTATCCAGAGATCTGATGACTACTGCAGGGATGAAGAAAATGAGATATTTAAAAAGAATAGTTTTCAGCATAATCATTCATGAAGCGGGACACGATGAATGTGTGTTGCAATTTACAAAGACATGGATTACGAGACATGTTGCAAAAGACATGGATATTCAGTTGGCAGCAAGAAGAGACAAGGAAACAATTTTTTACAAGTTTCGTGTAGAACTAGTATTTTGTACAAGGAAGGAAAATATGGCAGGAAAAATAGGGGCTGGAACTAGGCTTTTGGCCACCTGATGCAATCTTTGTGAATCCTAAATTCTGCCAGCTGGATGCCTCCTTAAATTCTGAAAATTTAGCCGTTGTTAATTCTGCCACTCGATGCGACCGCACCAGCTGAACTGGTTCTGGCTCCCGTCCCGTAGAATTCTTAGCACTTTTATGAAATTTACAAAAATTCGTACTGTCGGTAACCTCTTATTTCATCCTCACGCAATATTCGAAAATGATATGGGTTATACCGAATTCCATATATTTCAGTAACATCAGAAATTCACTAAAATATTCATTTACATATATTTACTTAATATTATAAATGATCTGAATTCTGTAACACTATTTTTTTTTTTTTTTTCCGTTGTTGTTTCTTTTGGGGAACAATATTGAAACACTGCAGTTTTTTAAGCATAATTTCATTTGGAGTTATTTTTCTACTTAATCTTGAAAGAAACTGAAATTATACAACTCCTGTGATATATTTTCCTTTTATAAAAATGAATGACTTGAAAGCTAATTTAGCTTGAAAAATAATGGAATGTGAAACAAGAAGAGCATCTCAAATTTGATTTATTTTATGTTTAATTACTTTAGAGTATCATTACTTACAGATTTAGTGCAAAGCATCATAAAAGACACATGGATCCTCAGACAAGTACATGCAATGCTTCGGAACCGTATGTGGAAATCCTAATACAGCCTGCTTTTTCCAACTATTTCCGTTACACATGTGAAACAGAAAACAAATGCCGAGGCCGCATCGTAGGCGTTAATAGTACTGCTCAGATGAAGCAGTATCCTACTATACAGGTAAGTATATTTTGGAAATATATTTATTAAAAAATATATATTAATTGTTTACTCCTAAGTTCACAAGGTACTTTTAACCAACTCATCATAAATTCAAATTAAGTGGAATAAGATTCCGAAAAGTTCTCGGCTTAAGCCAGTTATGACATTTTGACCGTCTGAACGGAAGCATTGTTTCAGTTGATCATTGGGATATATACCTTTTCTGTTTCGTATATATTTTCGAGTATATTTTCTTCTTATTCTTTGAAAAACTAAGTTAAACGTAAAACCAATAACACCTGTTCGATCGCGCAGAAAGATCCTTCCTAACACAGAAGTCGAAGTTTTATCTAATTGTGAAGTAGTCGAGGCAATAATTGAAGTCTTAATGCTAAAAAACTGAAAATATAAAATTTTTCGAAAATATCGATCGGGAAAAAAATCGAGGAATGATAAAAGTCGAGGCGATTTGACTAAGCTGACTAAGCCCAAGATCAGAAGGGGCAAAGAGAGATACTGAAAATATAAGCGAAGAAGATACTGACAATTGCATTAATCCCGAAGCACGAGACCATCAGATGAGCAATTGTTCCGCCTTTAAGACTTATCAGCATTAGTCCCGAGACAGCAATTACTTCTGCTGAAACTCTATTGACTTCATTGGTCAAACGGGATTTCGAATAGGAAGATAAAAAAGCACTTCAAAAACTACACAGTGAAATTCGACAAAGTTTTAAAAGTTCTCAAAATCAAAGTAAAATTACTCAATTTTTTAAGAAATAAACATATACATATATGGATGAAAATTGATAGTTTGGATTATCCGTGTTTTTCAATTATCCGTGAACTCCTTCTCCGACATAAGCCCAGATAATCAAGAGCACACTGTATGCTCACTGGAAATGTATTTAAATTAGATCATATATAATATTTAAATTAAATGCTACTTATTTAGGATTCAGAACTACTTATTGGCACTCATTCGTCCCATACTCGAGTTCGGGTTTCCAATTTATTATTGTGCCTCTGATTTCAACATGAAGAAATAAAAAAAATTAAATTATAAGGTATTTCTCCCGTCATCTTCGCCTGCCTTCGTAGTAGAGTGATAAGCACCGTGCGTTTTCGAGAGATCTGAGGTTCGATCCCGGGCGAAGGCATTGCACATTTTTCATCTCTCCTGCTTCGAAATAACCTAATGTCTCTACAAAATGCTGCGCGTATTATTACTGGATTGAGGCACAGCTGTCCTATGGAAATAGCCCTTTTTGAGGCCGATTTACAGCCTCTTCAGACTAGAACTGCAGCAGGTCTTGTTAAATAATTTAACAAACTCTCTAGTTATGGCCAATATGTTATGGAAAATTCTTATGTATTTTTTGTTGTATATAATTATTGAAAGTTATTTTACTGTGCATAATGTATTCTTAGTTATTATATTATTTTGCTGTGTTTAATGAATTTGTATTGAGCTTATTTAAAATTAATGTATAATATTTAATATTGTTAAACTTTACGGCAAAGCTCCTTTAAGTTTGGCAGAATTGTGTTACAATTAAAAGGGCGCTGGTGTATTTCCGTTTCTCATGCGTAGGCTTCTTTGGAGGTTAGAGGTCACTGTCCAGCTCCTTTTTCTCCTTTTTTCGCGGGGGTTGAAAACACGTGTTTTGCTCGTTCAGAGGCGAATAGTTCTAAGGGGCGGCGATTTTTTTGACAGAGTTATAGGTTGGAAACATTCTTCTGTTGCGTGGGAAAGAAAGGGTCTGTCATCTTGTAGAAAGTTCTGAATTTCTGAGAATTTCAGTGGCGATTTATGACCTTTCTTTTCTAGTTGTGCGAAGTGGGAGTCCAAGTTTCCTTAAGATTGGCTAAATTTTTAATTTTAGTGTTGTTTGAACCAATAGTAATTTTGAGGCGTTTCTTGGTGAGTGTAAACCGAGGTTTCTTAAGCCGTTGCACGGGAGGTAGGAGAGGATCTCTTGGACTTGAAAAAACGAGATTTTTAGAGAAGACTTTTAGCAGATTTTTTTTTTGGAGCCTTAGCGGGTTTGCTACTTTGACGGCGGCCGCTACGGGGCCGGCCGCGGTCAGTGAGGTGCTGGGATAACGCGGCGGTTCTTCGGGGGTCGACCGCGGTATACAGTTAAGTTTTCATCTCCGAGAATTCTGGTTATGGAGTGCGATCCCAGATAGTGCGGGTGCTCGTCATGTTGACGGCGGCAATTCCTGTCTTGCGGTATATTATTTTCAATTACGTCGCGGTTATTTTTTTCCCAATTTGTGGAAGAGTCTGAACAGCTCGTTTCGTGCTGGAGTTTCTATTTTGCTTTAGAAAAAACTGGAAATTATGGAAAGTCGCCTTCTCCTGAGGTTTGTCATGGTGTGTCGTCTCCAGTTTCGACCTCCTTCTCTTATCTTCAGTGGAACTTCGAAATCGGGAAGTTGATTGAGTTAAAATGCTGCTGGACGGAGGCTACTGCTTGAACTGTGAAAAAGTCTGGTTCCTGGAAAGGATGAAGATTTGGCAGTTATTGTTTCGGTGATTTGTGACTGGTTCCGGGCAGCTTCCTGTGTCCTCGGATTTCGTGAGTGACTTTATATTTTCATTGGTGCTTTATTTTGATAATTAATCTTTTTAAATTTGGAAATGTTTAATACTAAAGCAAGAGCTGTCATATTAAGTAGATAAAAATTGAATATTATTACTATATTTTTAGCTGAGAAGGTTGTTTTTTTATTTAATGTTTAATAGTCAGAAGTTAATTGAACTAATTGGAGGAAGTGAATCTTTGTTTTAATGTTTAAGTGCTATGTTCAATATGTTTTATTCTAAATTAGTTTTTTAAATGAGTTTAATCTTCTTGAGTTCCTGTTTAAAATGATTAAGAACTGTGACGTGTTTCACTATGATTTTTGTATTAATGGATTAATGTTAAATATGAGATTGATATGAAAACAAAAACTATGAGTAACTTTAAATGATTTTGTAGGGGTAGTCTGGCCAGCTATCTTAAATTATGATGTGTGGGAATTTTCAATAAATATGTTTATTATTTTTAATATTGTATGTTTCTTTTGTGTATTAATTGTGGTCTACTGTAAGTCACCCATGTGATCCTTACGGAAACATGGCTATTTTTATTCAAACCTGGGTACTCATATTGCGGTAGTAGGAAAAGGAAAATCAGTCAATTTAAGTGTTTGGTGACTATACGATCGGTTTACTTAATTTATTTTGATTTGATGAGTAGATACTTCTTAATTGTGAGATTGTATCTTTCCCCGGTGTTTTGAAGATTTCTGTGTGGTATTTGAAATGTTGAAAGGTTTAAGGCTATCTCTAGATTTTGTATTGAAATTTATGTGTTTTCAGGTTTGAAAATATAAATTAGTTTTAATTTAGTGAGAGATAGTGTTAATTTAGTTTTAATTTAGTGAGAGTGTTAAAGATTTTGTTACGTTGGAAGTGCATTTTCGAAGTTTTGTTTTTGTTGAAAATTAATCGTGATTCTACCAAAACACCAGGGAGGATATCTTTCCTTTGATGTCTTTTAGAGTTTAAAAGTTTTGATTATGTAAGTACAAAGTTTAGTAGTTAGTTTTTATTTATTTATTTTTATTTTTTATTTTATTTATTTATTTATTTTTTTGTCGCGGCACCAAGCAGTCAGCTTAAAGAGTAAAAGTAAAATTTAATTTTTTTCTACGTAACAAATACAACAAAACTTTGAGTACCTAACTAAATAGAAAAACAGGCAAAGACTGAAGAAAAACACCTCTTTTGGCCTAGTTGATTCCAAGAGCCTACTATTTTGCAGTGTTGAGCCCCATCCACCCATTCACTGTAATGCTGTTTAAACTCATCAGAGGGACTCTCCAAGGTTCACTTTCGCTGTAGCTTTTCCACTCCTATATATAAGACAGACTAACCACCTTAGATAATTGGCCTTGGATGTAATAGACAAAATCCCCAAAAATGCTACCAACATCTTCACAGATGGCAGCAAAATTGCTGACTATGCAGGTAGCTGCATTTATATTGAGAACTAACTCGCTAGAAAAAATGACACTCCAGCAACATTATCTATATCACTGTTCAGTTTTCAGAAGTGAACTGATAGCATCAGTTTAGGACTCGAGGCTATACTAACGGAGAAGAATTTTGAAAATCTATGGATCATATCTGATAGCCGAAGCTCACTCCAGCATCTTAGTAATTGGATTTACGTAGGCGATAAGACAAAAACTACACCTAATTTCTCGGTTATTATGATATTTATTCCCAGTGAATCCCATCTCACGTGGATCTTTATGGCAAAGAAATGGTGGACAAACTAGCAAAGGAGGGCTGTGGCCTTTTAACTCCCTTCTCTTCCGTCCTTAGCTGTCTAGAATTATATTCTCTGAAGACATGACAAATCAAGGTGGAGTGGTTGGTGCCCCCACCCATCTCCGGTACCTGAGTAGCAAGCCTGGTTGGACTTTAACCCTTGAGTGCGACAGGAGCTCCCGAACTGCGCTTTCACGTATTGACAACGGTCATATTATAAGCCTTTCTTTCAAGGAGGGCAAGAAAATCTTTGTCACATGCTTCAAGGGCCAAGAACATCAGGCGTCTGGCGAACACATATTAGACTGCTTGGGCCTCTCTAAAAGGGGGGATATTTACCCCAATCCCCTCCTTATGTTACATGGAGGTAAGAAAGGGAGGAGGGGCCATTCCGCGCTAGAAGTGAAGCACTGCTTTGAAGCTTGGGTCACCAGACGGGGTGTTGTTTGTTTACATTCAGAAGCTCGCTTGACAAGATTCTGATAGTATTTCGACACACGACAGTTTCCATAGAAATCGAAAAAGGGACACTCTCGCATGAAAGAAACATTCATAGTGTAATGGATAATAGCAATTTGTATAGTTTACGACATTTACGCAAAAATCACATCTTGGTTATTTTTCGATAACTAACAACAGCGATTTTTGATTATGAATTCGTTTTATAAAATTCTAAGCTGTTGCACTACAAAAATATAGATTTTAAGAAAATTGCTAAAAGAGATCTGCCAAAATTTTATTTTCTAGAAGATTTGAAAAGTTTGAAACTTGGCGCTAAATGTAAAATAAAATTATGTATGTTAAAATATTTGTAATTAGGCACATAGGTCAGGTTAAGCTTTTATAAAACAGTGTAACGGCATGCAAGGGCTGTCTGCCTAAAGGAGAGACATGCCATCGTGGACGAATTTTGAAGCAAAATTGACCTTTGAGTGGGTATTAAAATAATCTGGTAATTTTATGCAAATATATTCATATATATTTTTTTTTGTAAAACTTTCGGTGTACTAATTAGTGTAAATTACTTTACGAAAAATATAGCCAATGCATACAAATTAAAGATTTGCGTACTGCTGAAAATGATAAAATATTAAATATATATGGGCATTTATGCGTATGCCTTGCAAAAAGCATGTATTTGTCTTTAACAAAATACGTATATATTTGTTCAATTATTTATAAATGTATCTGGAAATGAAGAATTAACTCATTCTTAAACTCCTTTGAAAGTTACTGCGAAGAAATCTAAGATAAATGATCTAATTTATAATATTATAAATGTTATCTAAATATATAATAACCTTAATATGAATTGTAACATAAATGAAATCCTTTGACAAATACGTTATAAAACTATTAAGCAAGAATTGTTCGTATTTGAAAGCAATCTGTTAAACGGTAAGCAAATGCTAGAGATTCGCACTTAAGAATGTAATAAAGAGTTTTGGAATATGTATTGTTGAAATGAAGGGTAAAAAAAAAAAAAAAAAAAAAAAAATCTGATAAGTATATTAAAAGATTATTCCCTTTAATTTTATAATAACTCAGTTACAAGTTTTAAATAATACTTAAAAAAAAACTTATTTTATTCCCTTTCAGAAATGTTCAGGAAAGTCAAATCTATTTAATTCCTAATAATTCTCTAATTTAAAATGAACCGAATAGAGCATTAATTATAATTGACTTACATTTTTCGATTTAAAGAAGCCAAAAATCATGTCATATTAAGAAAGTATTTTAGAAAAGCTCTATAATAGAAAAGAATCATGCATAATTTTATATTAATAATACATACAATAAACTTTGATCTTAATTTTGTACCTTAACCGAATAAAACCGAATTACCTTAATTTTTTTCTAATGTAATTTAACGAAACTTGTGAAAATATTTCATTAAAATTAAACCATTCTGAGAAAACTGTCCTGTGAAAAGTATAGCATTTAATTCCGTTCAGAATTAAATGTTGTTTAAAAAAATATTGTTTTCACATACTTAGGACTCTGAAGTGTTGTAGAAAAAGAAATATATACATTTATATTTGCGACGTAATTAACAAAATTTTACACCCAACGCGTCAAATCCCATAGAACTCAATGGTTAATGACCCAATGTTTTGGTCACCACGTAGGGATATCCGGTGCTTCAGAGCAGGGTACGGAGAAACTTGTTTAGGGCGACTCCTTCTTACTTCCTACCTCCATGTTATGTTAGACTTTCTTAGAGTCAACGGTCTTTTAGACCTTGTCTGGCTTCGTCAGAAACAGGGAAAAAAGCAACAACAACAAAGGAAATATTTAAATTAAATTTCCAATAAGTAAAAAAAATAGCTCCTATCAACTTTTCCTACCGATAAACGCATGTAACAAATTACTTCAAAATGTACTTATCTCCCTTTGCGAAATTCTGCATTCATATAACGTTTGCTTGCACTCGCATCTGTCCTTTCTTTACTTGGAGATTTTAATACTTAGTTCTTAGTATTCCTTTTTCAGAGTGTACTTTTTTTAAACAGATGTTGCCGCTGTTATTAAATTTTTTTAAGATTACTTATCTTTTCCTTCAATTTAGCAAAGCAAGTGCATTAGAAAACAACAACCTACGTAAATAAGATACTATAAAACGCCGAACAAATATTAATGTAGAATGAATCTTGTCTTGTGAAAATTTGAAAATATAACGCTGATTTTTGTTGTTTGACTTCTAAATTAATCTGCATAAAATTAAGAATTATTGTGAAACAAAATCCAGTTTGGAACCATATTTTCTCTCTTTCATTAAGATGTATAATTTTAACTTTCAAAAAGCATGAATATTCAGCAGCGAACATTTTATGTAAGAGTAAACCAGTTTTTTTTAATAATTAATTACCTACAATTAACTTTGCAACAAAAAACTTTCAAGTTGAATTAATATGGGTGTCTGACTTTTGTTGTCTAATAAATTTGTTATTATCATTAAAATCTAATACGAATATTATTTTGGTTCATTTTTTGAAGGTTTACAATTATACAGGTGAGTTTACCCTCATTGCATCTTGTGTCACATGTGATGGTCCACCTCATAGGCCACATCCACATAAACTCTGCGGAAGTCATTGCAGTGATGGAATTTTCAGTCGGAAAGTTGCAGCCTCTAGTTACAGGTATGAAGAAGGTATTTAAATTAAGTAATGAACACAATGGAATCTCGAATCACGAATGGTTTGGTTCATGAACAAATTACCTGAATGTAAAACGCCTCGTGTGACAAAAAGTGTTTGAAATTTCGAATATCCTGATCGGAAATAAATGGTTTTTAAGTGTGTTTTGAAGTAATTTTGAACGTGTTTTGAATGCTTCAGAATGAACACTCAGGAACTTCCTGAACCATCATTTTAAAATTTTCCGTTGCTGAAGTTTCATTAATAAAGACTGGTAGCCAAAGATTTAGAGCATTGGTCCCAAATTTAAATTGCATGCGGGTCGAATGCATCATTCGAAAGTATTTGATGGCGTAATTCTGCCTGCCCCAATTTTTTAGCTCAAAAGGTATGTTAATCCCAAATGGAATATTAGTCTCGAAACATTGTGCATTGTATGACTTTTCAAATTGTTGTCACCAAATATTATCGCCTTGTATTATATGTAATAAAATTAAATAATGAATAATCTTCATGAATGTATGCATGTTTCTGGCATTGTAAAAAAAAAAAAAAAAAAAAAAAAAAAAAAAGTCGGTACTTAGAGCCATCAAATTTTTAATAACGTAAGCTTCCACTCGAACATGGACACCTGGAAGCCCGGCTTTTGAATTTCGAATTTGTTTTATTATCGATTCCATATTTTGTAAAATTGTAACGAATTTTTAATTAACAAACTAAACGACTTCAAAGCGAACAGTGGAAACACACTGTACAGAATAAAACCTTTTTATCTCCAGCGCACGAGACTATCTATCGGAAATTCTAAATATCCTGTTTCAAAATATTTTGTGATTTTACTGTTGAATTGAATTTAATGGCATAAGTAATGGCATAATAATAATGGCATAAGCGCCAAGAACGTGATATTTAATAAATAAAGTAAACACAAAAAATGTTAATACTAAAAGGACAAAAAACGCTTTGTAAAGTCATTAGTAAGAAAACTGAACATTGATATGACTGAGCAAAGACTAAACAATTAGAAATATTTCTACCAGCACTTAACATCGATCGGGAATTCTAACCATATACTGCAACTGAGTATATTTATCTTTTGATAAGTACAAAATAAAGTTAATCAGCTCTGTATCTTATGTCCAACCCAGGTAGTGGTTTGTAACTCTGACTTCCGTACCGAAGGGCCTGTGTTTGAATCTCAGAGAAGGCATGGATGTTAGTAAATGTATAGTCTCTGTGCGGCATGGGAACACTATAAATATGCAGCGATCCGTAAGTCCTCTCGAGAGGTTGTGGTAGGAGAAGAGGAGTGGGAGACCCTCGGACCCGTTCCCCGGAGTGCTCTCCATTAAAATTAGGAGCGGAACTGAACAAAGTCGTACTGTCACCTTGTATGGTGCTCAGGGGTTTTGCCAACGACAGGAACAATCTTGCACTCCTTGGCACCATGAATTTCGTGGACTTGTTCTGATGTTACTATCAGATAAGTGATATAAGTTCCAACAATAACAAATCTGTGTCTTCAAATATTTGAATAAGATTTATATTACAGCATAAATTAATTATTTCCATCATTAGATTTTCCGGGGCGTTTGCTGACGTTCGTTTTTAATCGCACTGAATACAACGTAAAACTAGACTTCAAATCATTAAAATTTTAAACTTTTCCGAAATTCTTGTCATAATAATTAATATTATGTTAATTCTCATTAAGTCAGGGAAACGTATTGGCGGCAGTAATGCGGCCCGCTGGGCACCAGTTTGACACCAGTGACCTACAGGATCATGAATTTGGCCTACGAAAAATTAATTATGGCCAGATTTTGTTATTATAGGCAGAGACTTTGGTGGCTTTTGTTTGTAGGATTTTTTTAATCCTTTTTTTATTAAATAAAGAATGGACTGTATAAAGCTGTTTTGTTTTTTATATTAGATTTTTGTTTTTGAAATATTCAAAGCAACATTTGATTTATATAATTACCGTATTTGCCGGAGTATAATAAGACGCACTTTTTTCCATTGAAAATAGGTCTGCAAAAAGGGGTGCGTTTTATACATCAATACTCAGTTTTTTATTATATGAGTTTTTTTTTTTTTCTTTCTTTCTTTCTTCTTTCCTTGCGGAGTGTAGGAATATTATAATAACGTAGAGTGCACTGAATGCGCATGCGCTGCCTTCTACGATCATAGCTGGGTTCGTTTAAACTTTCTATTTTGTGTGAACGACTCTTAAGTGGGTGTGAAATTTCTACTATTCAATTTTCTTAAAATTTTTGGCAAGTTATAGCTCAAAAAACTACGTCGACATTGCTATAACAAAGCATACAAGCTCGTGTGATTGCGTATGCTAAAGGAAATGGAAACGGAACTGAACATGGAAATAGGGTACAGAGGACAATTTATTGTATGACTTAGATGCTGATTTAGAAGAGGTTTCGAGTGACTCTTCATTTAGCTCTGGAGATTAGTGTCTGGGTTTTGACGAAGATTAAAAGGTGTTCTTCTTCAGACAGATTGGGTATTTGCAGAAAGTATTACTTTGTACGAGGGTTGGGGCAAAAGTCATGGCAACTATTTTTTTCTTGTAGATATGTGAATGGATCACAAAACGTATATGTATCGTGTGGAAGTTCTGCAGGCATAGTGTGTATGCAGAACAACAGATGACTCTGTGATAGATGGCTCTGTGGTAGCGAGGGCTCTGAAATCAGTCAGTTGGTGAGTGCCGTGCGAGATGGAAGTAACCCGTGTTGAGCAGCGCGCTTACATCAAAATAGCCGTTCTCCGAGGGAGAAAACGATGGAATGTCACAGTGAATTAGTAGAAGCCCTTGGAATAAGCCCTAACATATTGTACATAGCATGATAGTAGAAAGTTTCAGCAAGGACGTGTGTCAACAGTGATGAGCAAACGTTCGGAGACCGTGAGTTGCGACCGACTTGGCCCGTGCCGTCATCGAGCACCTCATAGATGAAGACAGACGATAGACATTACTGGAGTTAGAGAGGGCAAGTGGCATCGAGAAAGGCACCGTCCACAGGATATTGCTTAATGAGCTACAGTCAGAATCCTTCCCCAGTCAAATTGATGATGATCGTCGCGTATGACGTCAGAGGTGTCATTGGTTGCCACTTTGTTCCTAATGGCAGAACAGTGACCGCACAGTACTACTGGGACTTCCTGGTGCGACAGGTACGACGTGGCGTTTGGGATAAACGTCCGGATCTTGTGGACAGTGCAATAATTCTACACGACAATGCAAGACCACATAAAGTAGAGTGTTGCAGCTACTCCGACGTTAGAGATGGGAAGAATTGTAGCACCCACCGTACTCTCCTGATCTTTCGACCTGTGACTTTGATCTCATTCCCAAGATTAAGGAACCAATACGTGGTAGGCGGTTTGCAACACGAGAGGACATTGCTAATGCTGTGCGCCAACAGATGACCCAATTCACACATGGTGCGGCAAATGCTGAGGCTGATGGTATTCAGCGCCTCCCACATCGTTGGCAGAGTGTGGTGACAGTAACAGGGGACTACATTGAAGGTCTTTAGGCTGTTTGTCATGTCATGTGTATTGTATTATCATTCTTTTGCACGGTGAAGGCTATATTGCCCTGTATACTACCGTAATAAATTCGTGTGTTACGATATTTCAGTGCTATTCATTGTCCACACATGTAGTTAAGACCTTGACCTTTCGTCTGTATATGTCGCATTTTCCAACCGGACTGGTATCTTCAAGAAAAAAATTAGTTGCCGTGACTTTTGCCCCAACCTCCGTATTTGTATTACTTTGTATTTAAAACACTGTAAATTCATTATAATGATCAGCAATAAAGTTTTATCCTTCAAAAATATGTATAGAAAAGAGGGTGCGTCTTGTACGCCGTCAAATACGGTATTTTTATACCCAATTTTCGAGTATGAAATACCTTCTCTTTACACACAGTGCCATCCATCAGTAGAACTGCATCAAGACAAAGCAAGCAGACGCACGTCAAAATCCATTGTTAATTTCTTGGAAAAAAAAACAAAAACTGGAACAAGAAACGTTTTGAAAGACCATACACTTCACTCGTATCCTTACTAAGTCTCCTTGATGTATAATCCGCGGAGTTTTGTGCTTTTGGACTTTTAAGAAGCGAATTGCCCAAACGTCGACCTATAACCCTCTTTGGACATTGGAAAGCTGTTCAAAAGAAATGGGATAAAATACCTCTTCCGCTACTAGAAAAAGCTTTATTATTTTGGAAATTTCGGTTTATAAAAATAGTGAAAAATAAGGGTTATCAAATAGAACACTTAAACATAAAAAGTTTCGGATCTCATAATAATTACAGATCGGAAAAATATTTCTGTAATTACAATGAAATTCGTCTAAAAAATGTGCGAACAGCCTCTATAGATTCCAATTTTAAATATTTTATATTTCTATTTTATGTCTTTATGTTCTACTAATACAATAAGTGTGTTTTTAAACAAACTTTTTAAACATGTTGAGAGATTAGAATTATTTGGAAGCAGGCAAGATGAAAAATGAGCAACGCCTTCGCCGGGAATCGAACCGCGGACCTCTCAGTTACGCGCTGAGCGTGCAGACCACTACACCCCGAAGGCTCGCTAAGAAGGCAGGAGAAATACCTTATAAATATTTTACTGCAAAGTAAAATACTATTAAAAGGTATTTTGTTGTCAGTATCAATATGTTTAATCTTAATGGCAACATGCAGCATATTATGAGATCTGTAATTAGTTATTTTATCTTTGTAGCTTCACAGATCTAACTATACAGTGCATGAGAAGAAACCAGATAGACGAATCTCTCAGATTACGTAGAAATTATAATATTGATCCTTATCAGAGTATGTATTAAGTTTTTCAAATTAATTTCAAATTTTGTATTAAGTTTTTCAAATTTTGTATTTGTTAGTATAATTTGTATTAATTTTCTGTTTTAATATTAATAAATGTATTAGATTAGTGCACTGACATATTCTGCTATGTTCCTAATAACAAAAAGGTCTCATTTACAAAAAGATATTTTTTTTACTTCATTACAAATGTAATTCATAAAATATATTCTTGCTTATTTATATAAATTGAATAATATTATTGAATTATACTCACCCTAAACGAATGTTTACACCTAGAAAGCAAGTTTTTTATCTCAATGTTCGCATTAGTGTTTCCGGATTCTGCCCTTGCCTAATATAAATCACAGTTACTATAACATCTGTAGAAAGTTTTAAAGTACTAACGATAATTACTGTTAATATATTTTTATCACTAATGAAACGTTTTGCATATTTATTTTTCATTGTTATAAATTTGTATATTTGCATGTCATTTCACATATCTCTGTTTTACTTTTACAAATTTTATATACTCGTATATCACCCTCTATAGCAGGGTCTCTCAATTTAGTTTAAGTTTATGAACATAAAAATCCATTTTTATTGAAGTTTTGGTATTTCTCAATATTTCCTAGACTTTTTCTTGTTTAATTTATAAAATATATTAAAAATAATTGAAATTGAAATAAAAGTATTTTCAAGTTTTGGAAAGGAACGGGTGTCTAACAGTGGTGAAAGAGGTGCATGGAACAGAAATGTTTGAGAGACAGTGCTCTGTATCTTCTAGATCGCTAGGAAATCACTGCTCTATATCTTCTCTATATCCACTGCTCTATATCTATCTCTATATACAGCTTTAGTAGTGAAAATATTAAATACCACAATTTATCGAACTTGACAAGCTGAGAGGATTCGGCGAAAGATCTTCTAACATGGAGATTCTTTTATGTTATGTCCAGCTTCTTCAACATGGAAGACAAAGAAAATTTGGAAAATCCCCTCTCTTTGGATAAACTCTATCAGAAAAGTTGGCACTTCATCATTCTGATCTTTGCTGAAATTCACTCCTCATTATTTGTTGAGCAGTTTTGGGAAACTTTTGTCGTCTATTGTTGCTTCTAGATTTCCAGAAAATACTTTTGCTCTATTTCGAGCACTTTTATTGTAGAATGATCTTAATCTGATGCTCTTTTCTGAAGCTTAATTAATCACTGACTTAATGACTGATGCTCATTAAATAAGCATTATGACTCAGAATTTAATTTTTCAGTTTTCTGAACTTGCGTGCAAATATGTATTTCTAGACCAAACCTTTGAATCTTACTCTTAAATTATGTATTAGGATAACAATACAGAATGTTTGTTGTAGAATTCTGTAATCTTTATTACATTAAATCTTATGTTTGAGCATTTTCAACCAGTGCGTTCCATTAGGTTTGATACGAATACGGGAATATTATACATCATAATTTCGCTGAATATTATAATGTTAACTGGAAAAACTACAATGTACTTTCTATTATCCGGGCTGTTGCCGGGAAAGCAGGTCACGAACAAATGAAAAAGACGGATAATCCAAACTATCATTTTTTATGAAAATTGATAGTTTAGATTACTCTACATGGTTTGGGCATACGGTATGTGTTAATTTCTTTAAAAAAAATTCAGAAATTTTACTGTATTTTGGGGAACAAATTTGAATTAGAATCCCCTTGGTCAATGAAGTATCACGAACAATTTGGGCACCAATTCCATATTCTACGGCTAGCTTTATTTTAGATTCGCCATGTTCAGCCCTTTCAGAACTATAAGTTTTTGTTTTAATGTTAATACAACTTTCTTGCGCTAGCACTCGTAACGTATTCTTTATTCATTTTTTTTTTTTTTTTTAGTTCTAAAATTTCAAGTCAAATTTTTTAAAGAATAAGTAGAAAATATGTACCAAAATGAGTAGCAAACAAAAAAAATCTCAGCAATCAACAGAGAAGATGTCTTCCACTATGCACATGAAGAACGAATTCACAGCATGATCTTTTTCTGATGCAGTTTAGCTTTCGATATGATTTGTGCTGATTCATCATGCTTGCACCGTGAGTTTTTCGATTTACATTATCGTAGGCGATTCATTTTACATCAACAGCGATAATTCGTTTAAAAAAAAAAAGGATCGATTGCATTATGTTCGAAATGCGTATCGTAAATATTGATTCGTTGTGTTAAGTGAATTTCTTTCAATTCATTCGGAACCCATATATGGAGCTTCTGATTTTCAGTCGTTGGGTACGATACATTTAACCTTTTTGAAATCTTTCGCACAGTTATATGACGATTTGATTCAATTATTTCTTTAATTTTGTTTTCATTAATTTCAGAAGGTCGGCCAGAACGCTGGTCAAGTGAAAAATCTGTTCAACGATAATCGATGAAACTAGACCCAAAAAACGCAATTCAGCGGTTTTTAGAGCATGCTCGGACTTGTTTGTGTTTGTTTTTATTACACACGCCCGCGCATAACGAGTCGTCATTCACAGACAATCCGAAAAGTGAATAATCCGCATCCGGATAATCGAGAGAACATTGAAAATTCGTGTTCGGAACCAAAATCTGAAAAAAAAAAAAAAAAAAAAAAAAAAAAAAAAAAAACTGACCAGTCTTTACTGATTTTATTGCCATGATCATAATTAATTACTACAATAAATTGTAACTATTGGCAAGAAAGTAATTTCGATTTGTACAAATAGGCAGTGCTATATTCGTTTTGTTATACTTTTGTCAATCTTGTAATTTTTTTTCCTTTGAGATTTGGAAGCTGACATTTTTAGGATGCTTTTATAAACAAATTCCTTGTATTTTTGTTTATAACTGTTAGTTTACGGCCTGTTTTAACATGGGATACAAAAATAAGTATTTTTGACATATTTTGATTTTTTTATTATCGTAAAGGCCACTTTGGCTGAGAGTCACAAAATGATATCTGAAGTTTATGGCGCTAATTGCTTAAGAGAATGTATGTGTCCGAATCGGTTTAAAAAGTTTCGTTCAACAGATTTTTCACTTGACCAGCGTCTGACCGACCTTCTGAAATTAATGATGACAAAATTAAAGCCATAATTGAACCAAATCGTCATATAACTGTGCGAACGATTTCAAAAAGGTTAAAATGTATCATACCCAACAACTGAAAATCACAAGCTTGATATTTGGGTTCCACATGAATTGAAAGAGATTCACTTAATGCAGCGAATCAATATTTACCATACGCATTTCGAACATAATGCAATCGATCCTTTTTTTTTTTTTTAAACGAATTATCACTGGTGATGTAAAATGAATCGTCTACAATAACGTCAATCGAAAAATTCACAGTCCAAGCATGATGAATCAGCACAAATCATATCGAAACCTAAACTGCATCAGAAAAGGTCATGCTGTCAATGTGGTGGAATTAGAAAAGTTTTGTGTATTTTGAGCTACTTGGTTCGTTGGTGTCGTGTCGTTTGAGAAGTCAAATGGGTACAAGAGTGACGGGGATTGAGTTGTTGAGATTTCTTGCTTTTTAGTCAGTATTCCAGGCAACTAAATGATTAGCTCAAATATTTGCTGCCAACAATGTATGAAACTGGAGGAAGCAATCAAAGGGAAAAGGCCAGAAAATCAAAGGGAAAAGGCCAGAATTGGCAAATCGCAAAGGAATCGTGTTCAACCATGACCTTTCAAGGCCTTGCACATCTTTAGCAACATGATCGAAATTATTGGAGCTTGGTTGAAAGGTGATGTCGCGTCTTCCATATGGCCCTGACCTTGTACCATCGAATTAATGGCAATGTAAAAACCTTTGATTTATTAATAAATACCAGATAAGGGCGGACGTGGGCAGAACCGATTAACCGTAATGGTAGAGGGATGGTGCCCACGTCCTCCATTACTACTACTACTACTACTACTACTACTACCATCGAATTATTATTTATTTGGAAGTTTAGAAAACATCTTAAATGGTAAAAATTTCAGTAATAACGATGAATCAAATCGCACTTGTTTTTTTTTTTTTTTTTTTTTTTCTGATAAAGACCAGAAGTTCTATTAGTACAGAATTTCGAAGTTACCATAAAGATGACATTTAATTTCTCTTAAATTGATTAAAATTCCTTTTTTGCTTAGAAAAATTTAGTTTTTTCTCGCTCTAAAAAACCAAAATTACTTTCTTTCCAACCCAATATATTACAGAAACTGACAATTTTAGAGCAAGCATAAAAATTACTTAAACGATAAAAATCACCAGGGAATATGTCTTGGAGTTAATAATCACAAGAAACAGTCTTCGAGTGCAAAGGGCATTAGAAATAACATTTCTGTAATCACAATTTTATTTCGTGAATTGTCATTGTAGCAGAATTATAATTTCTTGATTTGAAGTTAGGAGTAGCCTTATTATTTTTTTAAATACAGTTCTTAATTGTTTCATCTGTATAGATAATAGTAAAAAGTAAAATTTATTTAAATATTCCCTTTTACAGCTGGTTTTGAAAATACTACAGATTTCGATCTGAACTCAGTCAGGTTGTGCTTTCAAGTTTTTATAACATCTGACAACCAAGTTCGTCCTTTAGTTCCAGTTGTTTCTCAACCTATTCGCAATAAAAGTATGTACATTTCTTATTCTAATTACCTGAAAACGAATTTTTTATTTTTATAATGACCAATGTGAGAAACCAAAAAAATATTTACGAAGGAATTATCAAATATTACACCCCAGCAAATTTTTAACTAGATTTTTACATTAATTAATTTAGTTTAGACTCTGAACGTTATATTTCATTTCATAAGTATAACGGGTAGAAACCATTGATTACTCTAAGAAAAGAATTGTTTTATGCATATTCTGTCAAAATTATTCTATATACACTGCGAAAAAAAAAAAAAAAAAAAAGAAAGAGGGGGGCAATTCTATATCTCCCGTTTTACTGGGCCGATTGACAAAATTCAAATTGCGTTTTTCATGTCTCCAAAGCGCGACTTAGGATATATATTAGATTTATATATAGCATTGTTCTAACATAAATATTTTGACACGAAAATTGGACTTTTTCTGAAATAACATATAATTTTTTTATATATATTCCGATTCTACGACTCAAACTATGCCTAGATTTTAAATTTTGTAAAATTTGGTGCGGTATTTACGGAGAAATTCAAAAATTTATCTTGGCAAAATTTTTTCAGTTTGCACCAAGAATAATTCACTTGGCGAACTTCTAAATATGTGGCAACCAATTTTTCTTTCCCATCCATTATGCCGGAGGGAAAAAAAAGGCACCTCAACCACATTTGATGTTTTATCGCTCTCAACAAATATGCCCAGTTTCAAAACGGGCCAATATATAAACTCACGTATTTCGAATGAACTTAAATTTCGAAATGTGAAAGGAAGAATCAATTAAGTTTAATAAAAAAAGGGAGATTAATAAATATATACCAAACTCAATTAACATTGAGGAGCTAAAATTTTGAAAGCTAATTTTTTAAAAACTATAGCTTTTAAAAAATTAGCTCGAGTACACTCGTGCGATGTTTACAAAACTTGGTAGTTTGACGTAATTTGAGTCGTAGAATTGAAATATGGAAAAAAACAGAAAAGTCCATTTTAGTTTTTTTAACATTTTGCGTCAAAATACCTATATTAGAACAATGCTATATATGAATCTAATACACATCCTAAGTCGCGCTTTCAAGACATGAAAAGCGCAAGTTGAATTTCTTCAATCGGTCCAGTAGAACGGAAAATATAGAACTGACCTCTTCTCCCTCCCCCCAGTGTACATTCAGTAGTCGGAAACATGATGTTGTCATACGTTCTTCTTGAAATGGAAAAAAAAAAAAAAAAAAAAAAAAAAAAAAAAAAAAAATAGAAATGTATAACCGGCAAATAAAAAGCAAAAATAAGTAATTTTCAGTAAAAAAATGTAAATAATATAGTTCAGAAATCATTTATTAATTATTGGTACACATATTACTATTTTGGCTATGGATTAGTTTTCAACCTGCCCGTATTACATGTACAAAAGATTTAAAACCTTATAATGATATTATAATTGTTAAGTCATTTGGCATTACAGGAATTTAAATAATTTGAAAAAAGTTTTAGTAAGCTTTCTAAACTTGTTGAAAGTTAACATACAAAATATGCATAATATAAACTCATTGACAGTTGTTTGATAAACACATAATATAAATAGTTTAAAAATATTACATCTAGAAATTACGGAAAGCGAAGAAATTGAACTCAGTTGCTATACTCTATACTGTGAGAGTTTCTAAACATTATTAATTAATATAAATGACAATTATTAATTGTTAACCAGTATCATTTATATTAATTCCCACTATTTGATGTACTAATAACAATTCACGTGAAGTTACCTAGAAAGGTTTAAATCATTTTGTTTTTAACTAACTAGATTAAATCATTCTTGGAATGTTTTACATTAAAGCTCAGAGAAAATATGATGTTATTTAACTGCCATAAAATATAACCTATTAAATGTTTTTATTCCTAAACGGATATCTGTTGATTATATATTAAAGTTCATGACAGCATTTAATGTTTCCTTTAAAATGTGATGCAAAGAGAATATTGACTTTCGAATACTAGTGTTACTAAAAGAGAAATTGGTAAAATGTAATATTTCTCTGTCTTTACAATAAATACTTCATTAATTTATTAATTTAACGATGCTGTCAATTTGCTAACTTTTTGATGAAATACATTAAATTATTTGTGTTATTAAATTGATAAAATGTTATTAAATTGATAAATTGATAAAATGATTATTAAATTGATAAAATGGATTTACAGTGGTACCTCGATAAATTGATGTTATTAAATTGATAAAATGGATTTACAGTGGTACCTCGATAAATTGATGTTATTAAATTGATAAAATGGATTTACAGTGGTACCTCGATATGCGTGCGTTTTGAAATACGTTTAACTTGGTGCACATTCAATTTGGACTCAAAAGTTTTTGTTTGGAATGCGACTCCGGTTCGATAAATCACGGCTGCACGGACTGCACGACTGCATCTCTTGTTTACTTCTTTTGAGACAATGTTACAACTGCCATGTGCGTCAGTGCACTCATTGTTACTATTCAGTATGCAATCCACACTATAACCGAATTTTCACGTCATTTTATGTTTTTTCGCTTAAATGTTTTATATATTCGTTAGCAGTGATTTTTAAGAAAATTAATTCAAAGCGTCAAGCAACGAAGTAAATAGTTAGGATCATATCATCATGGTGACCAGAAATTAATGAAAAATATGAAGATAATAAGCGCCTTCAGGACTTCAGGATACACTATTGCAAGAACGACGGTATCTGTGATAGTGAAATCGATTACCAGAAAAAGATCATGCACATTACAGCATGTTCAGAAAATGCTTTTACTCTGAATAAAAGAAAAAATATTTATGCACAAAATTTTCATTCATGTAAAGTATATAGTAAAGTATATAAAGTATTTCATGCAATGGATTAGTATTTTAATATTAAGTAGTGCTGTTATAACAGTAACTATAGGATTTTTTTATAAGCACGAATTACTTATTAGCCCAGAAGAGCTATCAGTCTGGAAACGGCATTTTGCGTGGAATCACTAAAAGCGTTGAATCACTTTTAAAATTGTTACCACAAAATATTATCGCTCTGTATTACATTTAAAGAAATTAAATAATGAAGAATCTCCTTAAATGTATGTATGTTTTTCGCATTGTGAAAAACCAACGGTATCTAGAGCCATCAAATTTTGAATAACGTAGTCCTTCACCTGAATATGGGTATTTAGAAGCTCGAATTTTGTATTTTGAATTCATTTTATTATCTATTTCATATTTTGGAAAACTTTAACGAATTTTTGATTAAAAAACTCAACGATTTCAAAGAGAGCAGTGGCAACACTGTATGAAATAGAACATTTTTATCTCTAGCGCGCGCGACTGTCTATGGGAAATTCTAAAGATATGCTATTTTCAAATATTTTTAGCCAAATGCTCTCAAACTCATGTAAATGAAAAAGCGCCCCTTCGGGGATAATATAAAACACGAAAGCTTTCAGTTCCCCCCTTCCCCGCTTTATTTCTTTCTGAAAATTTTTTTGGTATACGTCTAATCTGGTATGACTCCAAGGAACGGATTTTAATGACATATACCGTGGTACTTCTGTATTTCTTTATCATTTTGATTTTCAAGAGCTGTAATTCTATAATTAATTTTTTCTCAAAGGAAAAGTGAGCGATTTGAATATTGCCAGATTGAGCCATTATTCTGCTCCAGTTGATGGTGGAACAGAAATCATCATCTTATGCAATCTTATCACTGAAGGTATGTATGCTATTTATATAATTCCTTTCCTTTAAATATGCATCTAAAACTATTTTCAAATTACCAAGTGATGATACTAAATGCCGGAAAATGTGGTTTTCAGATTGGTTCTAAATTTCTTACTTTATGTCTTTACTGATAATTTTTCAGCAGTTTAATGCGCAAAAGTACTAGACATGATTAATTATGCTTTTCACATGTTTTTTTATAATTATATAAATATGTGTGTGTGTATGAAACGTTTAGTACTACCGATTGGAACAAAAGTGAGAATTACACAACTAGATATTATAGCATATAGATGTTATAGTCTCATATACAAAATTTCAACTTTCTACGACTAATCGTTTTTGAATTATGATAAATATATACACGTTATATGAAAGAAAATCCCTTTTGAAGCCATTTTACAATCCGTTTTGGAAGAAATAGTCCTTTATTCTGTCCGTACATAGAGATGTCATGCAAAAAAATCGTTCAAATGGATTCGAGAGCGGTCAAAATGGAAATTTTCGTTGAAATATAATATCCTCAATTTTTCTTGATTACAATACTTCCTTTACTTCGTATGAGGAAGTAAAAATTAAACTACACTGCTTGATAGAGGATATACCACATCATGCCAGAATGCTCGAAACAAACCGAACTTCTCTCATAGATAGTCAAACAGGTACAGAACAAATTACTTAATTTTTTACGAGCAAGCAAGATTCTACTGGCCTATTGTGATCAGTAACAATTGAGATTTCCTTTTTGGGGTAATACATTGTTGAACTCGACATCGCATTTTTTCCGAAATATGGCGAAAAAACAAACCGGCAGGAAGGAAGACCTACGATGAAACTATTCGTGAGTATGTTCGTTGTAAGAACTTGCGTAGGACAACGTCTTATATGTTCTTCAGGCCTAATCATAGCAAAATCTCTCACTTTTTGAATGATGTTTTAAATCATTACCGTTACCGTTAAATGACATGCAACCGTTTGACATACGTAGGACAGGCATGTAACCATGGTGGTTTGACCCGTTGCTGAATGGCTCGAGTCCCTTTGCGGGTGTAAAGAAAAAGGCCATCGTATGGCGAAAAAAGAGAGGTAACGTATAAAGGTCATTCAATGGGGTTTATTGATTTCATTAAATTCAAAATAGGAACATAAGTACTAACAAAAGCAGTAAAAGTATTAAAAGAAAAAAAAATGTAAAACAGTTCCAAAACTGCCGCAATTGACTTAAAGTACACTGGTGTGCAAAAATTAAGGACGAAGTCGAAAAATTAGCATATCAGCTGAACGAAGAGGCAGAGCGGACAGAAAGACCAATCAGGAGATTAAGTAAGGTGATGTCCGGTAGCACATGCGCAGATATGCAGGTAGACGTAACTGAGTAGTATAAAGCATGTTGTCGGTGTAAGATCAGTATTTCTGGCAAAGAGATTGCACGCCGTATAGCAGTTAAAATCACACCGAGTTGCTGCCTCAGCGAATAATCAATCTTTTAGACGACATCTGGATGCTTTTACCCGAGGTCGAATCATTGGGAAGTTGGAGGAAGGCCGCAGTGTGATAAGTGTGGCTGCAGAGTTCGGAATTGCTCACAGCATCGTTTCACGACTTTGGAGACAATTTCAAACTACAGGAACAGCTATCCGAGGGTTTAGTAGTGGTCGTCCACGAGGAACCACACCCGCAGATGACCGATATATTGCCTTACAGGCCAGTAGAAACAGGTGACAGACAGCGGGAGAAATCGCTAGACACAGGCGACTGGACGACCGATATCGCGTTTTACCGTGGCCAGAAGACTGCACGGTGGTGGTCTGTTTGCACGACGCCCTGTACGGTGTGTACCTCTAACGCCTGCCCATCGGAGAAGGCGTTCTCTGTGGTGCCGGGAACACCGGAATTGGAGAGACAATGAATGGGGATCAGTACTCTTTACAGACGAGAGCAGATTCAGTCTGAGTAGCGATTCTCATCACATACTCATCTGGAGAGAGCGGGGAAGCCGCAATCATCCCTCGAACATCATTGAAAAGGACAGGTATGGAGGTGGCGGTGTTCTCGTTTGGGGAGGCATCATGCTTGGTAGTCGTACAGACCTTCACATCTTCGACGCAGGTTCAGTCAACGGGACCCGTTATTGTAACGAGATTCTTCTTCCATATGTTCGTCTTTTTATAGGCGCTATGGGTCCGCAGTTCCTTTTCATGGACGACAATGCACCATGTCATCGCACAGTAGCTGCCGAACAGCTGTTAGAGAGTGAGGATATTGAACGTATGGATTGGCCGGCACGATCTCCGGATCTCAATCCCATCGAGCATGTATGGGATTTTCTAGGCAGACGCTTGGCAGCTCGTACCTTACCACCAGTAACGATTCCGGAGCTTCGATTGGCGCTGGGCCGATTCCGGAGCTTCGAAGACGAATGGGCAGCAATGCCTCAACAACTCATTGACACCCTCATTCTCAGCATGGGCAGACGCTGTGAAACCTGCCTAGCAGTCAGGGGAGATCATATCCCCTATTAAAGACCGGATGTTTCTTGCTGGACACCCATCACAGGGATGTTTCGGCCTTCAGCTACTCCATGCTACTTTTTCAATAAAGCTTCTTTTTATCCCTCTGATTTCTCTTTTAGTAAGTGTTGCTTACATTACTCATGTCCTTACGTATTGGGGATCTTACGGTATTAAATGTGTTGATTTGGAAAGCTTTTGTACAAAGTTATATTGAAAAAACCGTCTCGTCCTTAATTTTTGCACACCAGTGTATGAAGGGAATTTAAGGAAAATTAAATTGAAATTATCAAATAAATAAAATAAAAAAATTAAGAAAAATGTAGTATGAAAGCAATTATAATTAAACAAGAAGGCTAAAACGTTAAGCTACGGGACTTCGTAAATTTTTAATTCTTCTTCTTTGCGATCATTAGAGCTGGTTGCCTGCTTATATCATGCGCGTATTTCTCGTGATTGGTCAGAAAAATAATGCTTTTGCGTAACTTGCACATATTCATTCATTCTAGAATTTGCGTAGCTCTGCATGCACATAACCGTGGTGTGATATTTTTGCTGTCGTGTGAAATATCTTATTTCCTCTCGTATTCCCTCTTAGCGGTTTAAGTCTAGGTTTAGAAAATTAAAAAAAAAAAATCGCATAAGTTAACTTACACCAAAACCGCAATCCAAATCTAAAACTCCGCTGAACCATTTAACTGCAAATCCACTCAAGAACTAGCAGAAACGCCCTTCTTCGTCCGAGTTCTCATAGCAGCTCCGCATTTCGCACTCCGTTTTAAAAGTCACACAGAAATTCCAAAAGTACACTTCAATCCTCATAAACACACCCGTGAACAAAAGACTCGTTAACAACTCCAACATCGCACCTTTTAATACTAAATTTACTTTCCACACAATCTAAAATACGCGACTGAAATCTTCCCACCACGTCTATCATTGGAACATAGGCCATTTCAAAACACGCACGATACGAAGCAGCGAGCAATTAAACCACTCCAAGAGAAGATTTTTCAACGTCAACAGGGTTGCCATGTAACACGCAATCGCGCCAAAATTCAGCGCAGAACACATATCGCCACATTTGGTGAAATTAAGACGCATATAAGAGTAGAGCCTTATTTTTTCCTAAGGAGTGTTAAAACTTTCCCAAATGTAAGCGTAGGTATCGGGAACCTGTATTAAAATTTACATTTAATTTTTTGTCCAATTTTTTAAAATTTTAATTGACATTGTCAAAACGAATATTCTCGCCATCTAAAGCACTTCTGTAATTATAAGTTCATGACTACCACAAATGATGCAAAAATAAAGGTCGACTAAGGAATTTTAACCCGGATAAATGGGTGAGGATATATACTATATATATACACTTTTGGTACTGACGATTGCAATAAAACTGGGAGGTGCGCAACTAGATATTATGACATATCATACAATATTTCAGCGTTCTATTGTTAATTGTTTTTCAGTTATGCGAGACACGTACGTACGTACGTACGTACAGACGTCACGAAAAAAATCCATTTTTAATCTGTTTCTAACTCTGTTTTGGAATAAAGAATATTTTATTCTGTCCATACGTACAAATGTCACGCAAAGAAATAATCAAATTGGATCCTGGAACGGTCAAAATGAGTATTTCCGTTCAGATCTGATAACCGAAATTTTTTAGGATTACAATTCTTCCTTTACTTCGCACAAGGAAGTTAAAAGTTGTAAAATACTCGAGGAAATACGGTATGTTAAATCACTCCTAACTAGTTTATAAAATAAATTTCGAAGAATTTCAGCATTGTTTTGGATTAAGTATAAGATAATATTCTTCAATTATTACATGTTATTGAATAAGCAGTCATTCTGCCATTCATGTTGAATCATTTTATTAATTATTTAATTAATATTAAGTATATATTTAAGATATGCAGCTGTGGTTTTATGAAGAAGAGTCTGGTGAAGTAATTTGGGAATGTGAATCAAGATTTTCTTCTAACGATGTGTTCAAGAACGTGGCATTGTCATGCCGTGTGCCAAGATACCATGATATTAATATACGAAGTTATAGAGATATCTTCATTCAATTTAGAGATGGAAACAGAATTGGAACTCCTCGTTGTTTTCGTTATCTGCCAATAAACAAAGGTACGCAAAATAAGATTTTTATATGACGCAATATACACTGTTTAAAAATTTATTGAAAAATTTCTTTCCATATTCAGCTCATTTATTTAATTTAAATAATCCCTCCCTGCTTTATTTCAATTAAGTTTAATGAATTAGATGAGCTTGAAATGAAAACTAATCTTTCATTCTAACACTTTACTTTTTCCTCTTGATTTACAGCGCGAACTGCCTCAAAGATTGATCAGATATTATTTATTCACTTTTATTGTGCTGCTGAAAAACTAATCCACTATTGTTTTCAAATTTATTCATTCAGTAATTGTTAGGCTTTAAAATTAATTAAATACCGTATACGCTCACGTAGTGTCCGCATTTTTTTAATTAAAATTACATCACTAAAATGCAGGTACGGACAATTACACGGGTCGTTCAAATGTCGCGCTTTTTCTCGTGAGTAATTTTGTGTATAAATTTCACTTCAAACAGCCCTTTAAGTTGTAAGTGGAAGAAAATGGCATAAATAATAAAAGTATCAAATTTAAAGTTGTCTAATAGCTACCTAAAATTTACAAACTCACTTTTCCCATCCACATATATAATATAAATTACTCCGTTTACCAACACATCCACGTCGTTGAGTTACCAACACATCCACGTCGACCGGACCATGCTCTGGTACCATTGCAGCGCCATGCAGTGTCAGTCGGCGCATAATTAGTTCGCATAATTAGCACAATATACAGGTACAAATTAACCAACACTTACACAAATTAAATAAACTTTGGTTCTTTTATTATCTTGCACACATTATTTAATAAAAAAATCTGTTCTGACGCATAGGATGAAAATCCATTTCTTTTATCATTCGCCGCAACCAGCTTCACTAGCCTTAAATTACGATGTAGGAACATCTTCTTCTTGTGCCGCAGCAAGCGCTCTTTTGGCACATTTCCCGTGATACTGCGTACCCTTGCGCACGCATATCACGAACATACGCAACTACTTTTTTTTTTCCCTCTAAGTTCGGAAACTTAACATTTCGAACCACGAAACGCACGTCTTGTTTTGTTCATTGCCGCCAGTTGATTACGCTGTTTGCTCCAATTGCGCACAAACTTTTCGTAAACCTTATATACTCTTACCGCTGCTCTTTTTCCAATTTCCTGCACAAATTATACTACTTTCAGTTTAAAAGCCACTGTATATTCCCATTCCAAGCCCGTTACGTGCTAACTGCCACTAATTCCAAATGATACTATGAATAAAAAGACAAAGCTTGAAATATGCGAGTGCTTCAAGGAGAAAAGAGGGGAAATTAATTTCATTACAAAACAGTATCACGCAGCATCTGCATTTACACCGCCGGACATCTATCGAACTAGCTCAACGCCTGCTGTATCTGAAGACTAAAATTGCACCTTCACGAGATTTTTTTATCTCAATTACGAACTTTCTCACGTTAGGGTAGAAAAAGATATGCCTTTTTCATACGAGTTCTACACAGGATGTGGTTTTTATAACCCGGATGCCTGCTGACAAATGTTTCTAACACCTGAGTCTACAAAACAGTATTCCATAGAAGTCAGTGTAGTGAAAACCTGTTTGCACTGCCTTCCTTTATTATCGCGTCTGCCGAGTGGATTGCTGGCGCCGATATTTTGACTGAATAACAGCTGCACCAGAATGTAAATAAAGTCTCTGCTTTCCCTCCTGGCGCCAACCAGAGACAAAAAAAAAAAAAAAAAAAAAAAAAAAGAAAGAAAGAAAAAAAAGGAAAAAAAAAAAAAATGCATATTCTTATTAACTAAAGGGGAAAAGTAATGTTAAAAAATATATACTTTAAAGTAAGAAATTCTTTAGTTTTGGGGGTGCGAACATTGTGCGGGTCACTTTTTGTTTACATAAATTTTATCTGTAAAGTTTGGGTGTGGACATTACAAGAGCGTATACGGTATGTATAATTCATAAGTCTCATAAAAATCAATGACAATTTTCAAAGCAATATTATTATTAGTAGTATTATTTTGAGCTCTAGTGTTAATTCAACTATTATCTTATTCCCATTTTTAAAAATTATTCATTTTCAACAGTGGCACACCTAGAGGAGGGGGAGAGAAGTCTGCCCCGGGCTGCACATTTTGGGGGTGAAGGTTTTCGCGTGAAACATTTACAGGGGTTTGTCATATGGATCATCAAGGCAAATAAAAATAATAACAGTTTAAATTGCTAAACGGAATTAAAATTGGAGGGAAAAAATATTTTTATTCTATAGAAATATTCAAAGAATTCTGCACAAGATTTTAACAGCTACATATTCTTGTTGTTATATATTTTTTTTTTATTCCGTCGAAACTTTTGAATGAAAATTATGAATATCAACTAAATTATGATCACGGTGACATTAATAACGCAGAACTCGTCGTTAAGAGAGAAATATTTTAGGAGATTTATTTTCCTTATTATGTGTGGTTCTTTTGAATTTTTGCAGTTTATTCTAAAATACAGTCTCCAGAATAAAATTCCAAATATTGCAATAGTGGTATTGCGAACTTTCTTCACAATTGCTGTAAGTGCTGCTAGTTGTGAGAAGAGTTTTTTACATAAAAATAACTTAAGGAGTATTTTAGAACCATCAATGTTTACTCTTTGTATTATGGCAACTAGGAATAATCAAGTAGACTTTTACAATGTCATCGATGATTTTGAAAACAGAAAAAAAAAACAAGCAAAATAATAATATAGTTTAAAAAATATCGGAATTAAAGTTTTTTCACATTCAATTCCACATAAAATGTTCCACAATAAAATTAAAATTTCAAAAAAAAAAAAAAAAAAATCCACATAAAGTTTTCGGATCCCTTATGAAGTTTCAAAGTCTCTCCCTATTGGAAACTGATTAATCTTTTGGTAAACGTTAAGGCGACTCGTTTTGTCTTAAGCCCAACAATGACTTGAGAAGGGTGTAAAAGACCCTTTATTTGAAACTTAAAAAGATGAACAAAAGGTACACCTGATGCTTACAAGTCTGCTGGCATTTATGGCGAGAAACTCAAAATAGAAAATCAAATGTAAAGCTAAATTTGAATAACTGATAGGCAAAGGTTACGCAGAGATAATTAATGCGAAGTTGGCTCGGACTTCAACGGCGTGAATTTAACTATCGACAAGCATAATGCAGGCCGAAGACGGGAACTCTTATATTAGAATAGAAAAACTAATAACATGGCCTTGTTGAAGCAGAACACGCTTTGTTTTAGCAATCTCAAACCCTCACTTAAATACACCTGAACTCATTTGCATTCTGGTGGCAAAATGGAAAGAGAGAAGTAGTAGTATAGATTCAAAACAAAATAACTGGTTATTTAAATTAAAGAAATTTCATACCCTATATTTCATTCTCCAGTTTTTTAGTTATTTTTTTATATTAATAGAGACCGCCTCGGGCATCAAAATAAGGGATCGCCCGGGCGGCAAGAACTCTAGCTATGTCACTGATTGCTAGTACTTTTTTAATTCTTCACATATCGCTAACATACCTTTTCAAATTTAGGTTTACAGTGAATCCATCAAAACTGGAAACGTTACCGCGTTAAACAAAAATAATTAATGAAGCAATCTCTTTCTAGATTCGAGTGTTGTTCGTCGAAAGAAATTTCGAATCGGAGCAACTGACTTTAGCAATACTGAAGGTAAGTGTATTTTAATATTTCTGAAATCCTCAATAATTATAGGCGAAATTCAGCCTCCGCTTGGATACGTGCTTTAAAAAATAAATGAATGATCTGTATTGCTCAAGAACAGATTTTCTGTTTCATTCGTCCTATACACTGCAGATATTTAGCACCAAGTACTGAAAAAACATTTTAAACGAGAAACAAAACAAAGACAAACAAGTATATAAATACTTTACAATATTTTCCCTTTAAATGCAAGTTTCGACCCATAAGCATTACAAGTGGAAAGACCACTGAACGTGAATATTTAATGCGGTTTTCCTTTCTAATAGAGATTCAAAATAGGCCATTTTATGAAATCGAGAGAGCTACGCATGAAGCGAACAAAGACATGATAAGCATTTTTGTTGTTATATTATGGAAAATTCTGCTTCATTTACCAAACATAATGTGTGGCACAAACTTCTTGATTAAATTAACACTTTCATCTCATTGAGTGAGGAATACCATCGACAAGAAAAGCTATTCTGAGTGCTGTAAACAAATTGTGCTATATTTCGTAAAAAAAATGCTGTAGTAGAATTAGCCAGTTGCACTTTGTTTATGTTACGCGCTTATGTGCTTGAGTTTGCACTGACGCTAGATATTTTATTTCATCATTGCAATTAGTTTGTTTATTTCCAGTTAAATTAAGTAGTATATTTACTAGTAAACATTGTTGTTGTTGTTGTGAATAATCTCGATTGTCTGATATCAGAGCAAGCCCATGAAATTCATCGCGGTAAGGGGGAAAGATTGTGCCTGCCGTTGGCAACAGCCTTGGGCACCATGTAACTGACAGTATGATTTTGTTCAGTTCCACCGTCAATTTTGAAGGACAGCATCTCGGGGGAAGAGGAGCGGGCGGTGGTGGAACGAGGAGAGGGGCCTCCTACCTATCTTCCCCTACCCTCAATCTCTCGAGAGGACGTTCGGCTCGCAGCATATTTACAGTGCCTCTATGCCGCACAGACACTACACATTTACAAATATCCATATCTTCTCCGGGTTCAAGCCGGGTCCTTGGGTACGGCAGTCAGAATCATTAACCACTATCCCGTTGGGACGGCACTAAGTAAATATTCTTAATGCAACTTATAAAGGTTTAGACTAGAAGAAATAAACTCTTTTCAGAGTTTCGCACAAATTAAAATTCGAACAGAATACTGAAATACTAAGAATAATATTGACTACTTACAATGTTAAAAGAGTATGTTTTGAAGATAACATAGCTGAGTTACAAATATTCTGTTTGTGATTCTTTCGTAACATAAGAAAAGTCAGGGGGATAATGAAGTTCTTCCCAATTATATCTTAGCATATCCCATGCCAACAATCGCCATAATTGTATGTGTATGTGTTGCTTAAGAGCGTTCAAACTTGTATCAAGCATAGGAATAAAATTTCTCTCCTTGATGTATTCCCACAATTACTAACCATAAGGTGTTGAATTCGGAGTTTTAGGTCATCAGGATTCTGCAGCATCTTCTGATGTCTTGAAAGGTCAATCCAATAGGAGGCAAATGTTCGTCTATACTGTCTTCTATAACATTAGTAAACTCTGAATCCCTAAGAACCGAATAAGCAAACGCGTGAAACTCGCTATGATATGAATCGCTGATGTGAATGGGAGATTTAAAACGTAGAGAACAAATCCAGCTTTAAAGTTCGGAATATATTTATACCAATGCCAGATATTTGTCCACTAAGCCATTAATCTTGATCTTGCTTCCCAACACTTAACAATAGAATTAAAAGATAATAGTGCAGTGCGTTCGTTAGTATGCTCCTTATCCATGGACTGTCTATAATTACAAAGAGTACAGACTGAAGAGTCCTTAAGTCGAATTTTAAAAAGATGGGCATTCAGCCAATCGTGACCAGTCAAAAGAAGAAATAACGCCACGGCTGCAGGACGAGGAAATTCTGGAATACCTGGCTTTGAACTAGTGAGACACTCCCAGGCCTTTCTCTTAGCTTCATTTGATAGACAGGAGGCAAACCTCCTCTTAAATTCTAATTTAATTAGGAGTTTTGCAGAATTAAAAATATGATTATTAGTGGTTTGTAGAATAGTATTTCCTTTCTTTGCCAGGAAATCGGCTCTTTCATTGCTCTCGATGCTACAATGAGCAGAAATCCACTGCAAGATAATTGACAATAACAGCCCGAGGGAAATTACTCTTCCCACTGGTTTATAGAATGCAAAATAGATGCAAAAATTCCTGCACCAGCTCCAGTACCTCGCTCAATCATGGATCCATCGGTGTAAATATGGGTCCAGAGGTTACTGGGATATCTTCTCTCAATAGTTTCATAAGCAATGGCTCTGATGTGGGTAGTGGGCATCTCATTCTTGTCAGTTTTCTCGTCAAGTTCAAGATATACACATAAGTCACCGTATTCAAGAGGACACAAAAGTACAGTCATTACATTCATTTCTCGAACAAGATCTAGGTCTTTTGCTAATTGATAACCAATTTGATTACAACCCACTCGTGTCTTTAAATTTCGATCATTGTTAAAATTGTAATTCCACCAATATTTATTATTTGGGAGCCTGCAAAGCTTTTGAATGTCATGCATGACAGCAGACATATTGGTTAACGCTTCCATAGTCGCTATTGGTGGGGATTTAATTGAACCTGTTATTAGGCTGAGAGATTGGTTTTGTAATCTTGCCAAAATGTCGACTGTATCGATGGAAGGAGTCACCAAAACTTCGTTGCAGTAATGAAATAATGGTTGAATGTACATTTTATATGTATTTATTAAAGTTTCTCTGTTACACCCCCATCGGCAGTTCGCCAGCCGTTTCAGAACTGGAAGTCTCCTTTCAGCTTTTTTTTTACCTTTAGAGAAGAAATATGTTCATTCCAATTCAGATGTGAATCAAGTTTGCATCCTAAATAGGTAACGTTATTACTAACAGAGATTACTAGAACCACTATAAAGGAGGTGGGGTAAATAGTGCTGTCTATTCAACTTAAAAGATTGGCAATTACTTTTGTCTAGGTTTAAAATCATGTTATTATTCCTGCACCAAAGTTCTAATCTCCCCAAAGCATCACTGAGATTAACATTCAGGGTTTTCGGTCGATTCTTCGGAGCACAGTTCCAGAAGACTAGATTGTCAGCGAACAGTGTAGTCTTAACTGCAGGGTCAGGCATCGGAATATCAGGCAAATCGTTATATAAACATTAAATGATAAGGGGTTAATTACAGCGTCCTGAGGGAGACCAGCCTCTGTCTGTCTAAAAAGGGACATTCTCTGGCCATAGCGAACCCTAATAAATCTTTGGTTGATTAAATGTTTTATCCAGGCCAGCATTTTGCCCTCTACACCAAGGGCATGAAGGTTTTCAATAAGCTTTTAGCGACAGATTCTGTCATGGGCCCACAAAAAGTGCCAGGGTGGACTTACGTTTATCTAGGGAGTCCTTTACGTCTTGGCTAAAATAAATAACTTGCTAAATAAGTCCTAAAACCGGCCCGTGGAAGAGATAATAAATTATTATACTCCAAAACCCACCTCAATCTTGACGTAATCATGCGCTCTATGACCTTAGCCGAGATACAAGTAAAGGAAATAGGTCTGTAATTATTAATTTGATGACTAGGTTTATTCTTCTTTAAAATAGGAATAACAACGGCTTTCAGCCAAGTAGAGGAAACGCCGCTGTGCCAGCTTTTGTTCAGTAGCGCAAGAAGAGCCAAACGAAAAGTGGGTTCCATATTCTTCAAAAAGTCGGCATGGATGTTATCCGGTCCTGGGCTTTTGCCGCACTTTAACAGACAAATGGCTTCATTCAGTTCCGCCGCGATAAAACTGGAGTAGAAGACCGAATGTCTTGGATTATTTTTTGTATGAGAGACTTTACATTTTATCTAGTATGGCGTTGGTTCTTTTTTAAATTTGGCATTGGTTCTCTTTTGTTCCACTAGTAAGGAATCAGCAAAAACGTGGATCCCAAGTGACAAAATAAAAGGATTTAAGCCCTTCAAACATTTCAGCGAACTTATTGAACACAGGAGCGTTTCAATGCATATTGTTGCATTTGCAAAGAACCATGAAATTATAGATCAATGGAAGCAAATGACTGACTAAAAATGGCCTGTGCATTTAATCGTTTCGGACAGCTTAATCTTCTCCAGAGGGCTGGGTCATATATGTCTCGCGCATTCATTACATTAAATAAGGTTAAATTTTACAAATTTAGTTACATATTATTACAAATTTATAGAGATTAGTTTACTATAGAGATTTAGAGTTTGTCTCTTAATGCGAACCAGAAAATGGCAGACCCAGATGACTTTTCTTGTTCCTTACTGCTTGAATCGTTGATTAAATGGCTTTAGTACAAAAAAAAAAAAAAAAAAAAAAAAAAAAAAAAAAAAAAAACAATTAGTCTGTATAACACTCTGAAAGGATTAAAAAATGTGTTGCCGTCAGACTAATTTTATTACAAAAACTACGCAGTCCTGAAGAAAGTTTTTGAGATTCTCTGACCCAATTATACCCTCATGCCGCACATGGCACTCTACATTTATAAACATCCATGCTTTCTCCGGGGTTCGAGCCCGTGCCCTTCGATACGGCAGTTAAAGTCGCTAACTCGGTTGGGCGGCCTCTGCATTCAGTCTATTAGGAACTCGAACACACGCAACAATATTGATTTAATTTTGGCTTGAAAACAATTCAGTGGAGAAACTTACTTTCTTTTTTACGTTTCTTAAATCTGGAACAATAATAATAATATGCTAATATACTTAAACATATAGGAGTTTATATTATCGCAAAATGAAAAACTTAATTATTGAAGAATTTAATGTATAAGCAACCATAAAAACTGAATAAAAATAACATCCTCAAATTCTCATAAAACAGTGCTCAGTTACAGTAAGGGTTAGCTAAAGTAATATTATATAATGGAAATTAAGAAATTTGGCGTAACATTAATCTTTAATGCCAAAG